TTTTTTTTTCAAAAGCCAATAAATATGTACATGGGCCATTAAACTCTGATCCACTGACCTGAGGGTTGTTAACAGGGTTGTTGGACACTGAATTATTATTAATATTAATATTTAACATCTGCATCGTCATAACGTCTATGATGGTCTAATATCTGGTTAAATGTCTCTTAGGATGTTGCACCTCGACCAGATGCTTTTAGTAGCCAAAGCCGGTAGGCTTTGGGAAGGTCAGAATAATGAAGCCAGCTTTATTTTGTTTCATCAGAGTTGGTGTAAAGCACCCACAAGTTTGTTGTACATCTTCAATGACTATTCTATTCTATTCTATTCTATTCTATTCTATTCTATTCTATTCTATTTTCAATCTAAACCAGTTTTGATGTGTATTTGGGATCATTGTCCTTTTGGAACCCTCAAATTGTGCCCAAGTTTCAACGCTCTAGCTGTTGGTTTGAGGTAAAGTTGTAGAATTTGGAAGTAGTCCCCATTTTTATTATTCCAGTCACAATATACCATTACCACTGGCAGCAAAACTATCCCAGAGCATGATGGTAACACCACCATGCTTGACAGCTGGTACAGTTTTCTTAGGTTTGACCTCATGGCTTGAACTTTGGTGATTCCTGGGTCATTCCTGAACAGTCTAACCAATTTCCTCTCATCTGAGGTGACAATTTGAACCATTTTCCACACCTTGGCAAAGTGGTCATGAGCTGAATAACTTGTACTTAAAATTGTAAAATTGTCTGAATTGATGATCTTGGAATCTGCAGTTATTTACAAATGGCTCCAAGAGACTTTCCCAACTTGCAAAAATCTACAATTCTCCTTCTTAGATCTTTACTGAGTTTCTTGGACTTTACCATTGTTCTGAGTATTGCTCTGTCCAATGAATGCTGTCAAACAATTCCTTTTTATGCTGGCAAACAGAAACTACCAAGTTTTAGTCAATCATGATCACTAATAAAAGGTTAATAGGGCTTGGCCTTGTCAAGTTAAAATATATTGTAGAACAGAGCACCACTTATTAAAGGATTTAAATGAGTTTGCTTGTATTTTTGAATCTGGGTGTATAATCTTGACCCCATTTGGTTTAGAGAAATGCTGTAAGAATGTGAGAAATTCAAACTTGTGCAGCCAATTATTGTTTTTGTTTTTTAAAAAGTCTTTAGGATCAACAGAATCATTCCACTCTGGAAAAAGGACTGATCAAAGATATCAAAGATTTAAAGCCACAAATTATCGTGACATTCATGCCCATTATGAGCATATATAAACTTTTTACAAAAATGCATCCCTACATAGCCAAAATACATAGTATGTGAGTTGTAGGAAGTTCAGTTTTTCTGTTGTGGACCTGATTCGTTTTTGAATTAAACAACCTTTTGATTTATCGTTTTACCCTTGGAGTCTCCAAAATATTTAAGCTTTTATTTTATAATCTTCATCCTATAGGATAAGGGTATGGTTCACTTGTAATATGCAAAGAGACAATATTATTACCACCGTCAGGGGCGCTGGCGACATCAGAGCCCATCTGTTATCGCGAGAGCGTGTTCAATGTGTTTCCGGCT